AAAAAGGCTTATGTCTGGTTTTTAGGCTTAAATTTCCAAACTCCATAAATGGAACACACAAGAAACAGGAAACTAAATCTATATTTAAGATTATATAGGGAGACCAAGGAATTCACGTTTCTTTATCTAGAGAGGAAAATTACTAAAAGCAATAGCAAATTCAGGCGGTGTGTGTAAAAGGTAATTCGTTCCCTTAGTCTCACAGCGAATTTGATGGATCCTCACAGGCCCACCCCCGATTTTAAAAGCATATTGTTTGGCTATTTGAACGGTCTTGTTGTCTAGTACCTTGCAGATATGTTGTCAATCGTCTTTGAGCTTAAAAGAGCTTTCCTTAAGAGTACTGGCCCTATTGGGTCCCCCAACCCGTCTGATAGCTGCTGTGGAGAGCACATACAGAAGCCTCCCTTCCTTTCTTTGCTCGCTCGCTGGGTACCCGTTAGCCAGCATCCTCTCCCTGCCACCAAGCACTGCAAAATTTTATCTCCAAAGATATAACACATCCTTATGCCAGCCTGAAGTAAAGTTCCAACTAAACCCAGTTAATACTCCTGCCTAAATATTAATTTGCTGCTTACTTTCGTCTTTGTCTTATTTCACGGCTTTTTCTCCTACGGGATTTTGAGAAACCCAAGGATATAATTCTTGAAATGTTTCATATTTTTCTGTTTGTTTACTCACATTTTGTTTTCCATTTCCAAGACCACGAGAACAAACTATTCCTATTAAGAGCTATGGCTCAGAGTAAGCAATACCTGCCCCCCCACCTCCCTCACCTCCCCGAGGGTCTGTGGTAGCATCACGCCCAGGACTTGTAATGTATGACACACTGAATTACTGTATGTCTGCTCTTAGCAAATGACGGTAGGAGCCACAGTCTGCTGGTCTGGAAGGCCAGACACATTTCAAAAATATGTTTTCAAAAAATGCCTGGTTGTCTAGGGCAGTTGAGGACCTACGTCAGAATTTAAATGTTGTCACCTAACTAACTACTCTAGGAAAATCCCTTAATTTCTTTATCTGCAAAATGGGATTTCTTCACTATCCAGCTGAAGGCATTGGTGTGAGGATCAAAATGGCTAACATGCATTTTCTACACTTCTCTCCATGAAGTAAGTTATTATTATTAGGCCCTTAACCTAAGAAGTTTGTAGTTTCTTTGGTACATTTTTAGAAAGACAAGCTTGGATTTTCTGAGGAATATTCATGACATTCCTTTAACTCACTTTTTGGGATGACCCTGCTATTGTTTACACAGTTTTTCATGGTTCTGAAACATGTGGTTTTTAAAAATTAACTCCAAGCTGTAAGACCATATTCTACACAAACTATTCCCCAAACTGGTTTAAAAAAAAAAAAAAAAAAAAAGAAGCTGCTTTTATGATAAATTCAATACCAGAATAATGTCATGCTTGTACGCAGTTCATTATTCCTTCAGAAACCAGGGGAAGCAGATCAGGGCTTCTAATAGGCAAGAGTGATGCTCAAAAATTCTTCAGTGTCATATCACTTTCAATTCACCCAGTGAGAATGTGGCTAAAATCAGACTTTCTATTTTGTCTGCGCAGAGTTCTCTCGGTGACAGCTTGCTACCAGCCACATTAGAATAGATGCTCATTCATCAAGACAGGTCAGAATGTCAGCTTTCTCACTCCGGGTGCTCCTTTGTAGCCCCTAGAAGGACGGCAGGCAGGCAGCAAACACTAAGCATGTTTTGCTGTGCAAATGCCAATGACCTTGTGAGGGGTTCCCTTTGGTGGGAGGACATACAGGATAATGGTTCAAAGAATGGCTTCTGATGTTACTCAGACCTGAGCTCACGTGCTTATTTTGCTTTTTTATAAATTTTGTAACTTCTGAGCCTTTTTTTTCATCTGTAAAATGGACACACGCCTACTTCTGTAACAGGCATAATACAATTGTTATAAGAATAAAGGGAGGACATTGCTCAGCACAATGTAGGTGCTCAATAAAAGGTACTTCTATTACTTGTAATAACCACTGATGTTATTAATTATAACGATATGAATCACATTGCACTATCAGTTACATTAATAATAATAATAATAATACAGCTTACGCTTGATAGGTGCCGATCTAAGAGCTTACAGTATTAATTCATTTCATCAACACCCTCTGGTGGGGCTACTGCTGCTCCAGGTTTACAACTGAGACCCAAGGAGATCAGGTCGATTGCGTACGGGAAAGGGCACACTAGGATTTGAACTCAAGCTATTCAGCTTTGGAAAGAATTCTTCACCACCATCCCGTACCACAGATGCTTTTCTGCTCAACGATAATGCTGCGGACACGGTGTTTTAGTGAAATGAGGGCCAGTTTTTTGGATGGTGCAAGAAAGAACAGTGTATCGCCTTACTGTGGCTTGTCATAGGTTACATGCATTTGACACGCACAGCGGGAGTATGCGTCCACTAGATGGCATTGTTGTTTTAATGAAATGCGAACCAAGTCGCTACTTCGGTTCAGGGGCCTGCTAAATTTGCGAACAGCAGCAGGACAAGCCAGGTAGATCCCTGAAAGTCTGATGGAAGGAACCCCCCGACTTTACAGCTCGGCTAGAGATCTCTAAAGACTAATGGTACCAAGAAATGATCAGAAAAAATACATGCTAGTTTTTATCTGGGTGTGGATGTCTATAGAAAATCTGGATGAGTTTTGCAATCATCTTGTCCAAACTCATCAGTTCATAAATAAATAGACAGAGGGCCAGAGAGGAAAAGTCACTGGGAGACGGAGGTCCAGATTTGATGGCTCTGGCTGTAGTTCTCTTTCCCTAATACTTCCGACGGATTCTAAACCACAAAGGAACTGTGGTTTCTGAATTCTTAGAAGCCTTTCCTTTGGGGTATGGGACAGAGGACTGCCCAAAAATGAAGAGTTTTTGCCTACATTTTATATGTATGTTCAAAATCAAACCAGACTCAGATACTTAGATATGAAGGAGGATAAAAGCAAAAAATGGTGCCCGTTTCTTTTTCTAATATGTCGACTTGGAAAGACTGAGTGACTGTACTTTATTTTAAAAATTTTTTTAGAAAGGGAGAAAAGGAAGAGGGGCAGAGAGAGAGAGAGATTCTTAAGCAGGCTCCATGCCCAGTGTGGAGCCCGATGTGGGGCTAAATCTCACAACCCTGAGATCATGACCTGAGCCAAAATCCAGAGTTAAAAGCTTAACTGACTGAGCCTCCCAAGCACCTGGAGTGACTCCACTTTGAAAGACTGACCTTACTGGCTGACAGTGCAGTTTGTGGATATTAAACCCAAGCAGGTAGCAGAGTAATGGATAAGCAAAAGGACTGGAATCAGACTGCCTAGATGGAACTGAAAAACCTGGGAAAAGCCATGAGACACCCCTAAGCCTCTGTTTCCACATCTGTAAAATGGGAATATTTTTACTTATGAGATGTTTGTGGAAACTAAATGCATATAAAGTGCCTATGACACAGTTAAAAAGCCAAGGTTAAGGGTGGCGATGATAGTGAAGGTTTTTGTCATGATGGCTGATGCTTAGTCGTCTGTATCTCTCGGCTATGAATGTCATTGCAGGTGCTTTGTCAACAACTTCCTTACTCACTGTCACATGCTAAACTGCTAAAAAAGAGAGATAAGGTTTCAGGTTTTATAACTGTGTAACATAACTCCTTCCTCAACCAGATGGTGGAAGTAGCCAAGATACATATGGCCTGGACTTCATTATGTGTTCACATCAGCTTTATTTAAAACACTCGTAGGCTTGGGGCTCCTACTCATAGTTTAGACAGAGAAGGTGACTGGCATGCAAATAATAACCATTGAACACTTGCTGAGTGTCAAACATTGCTCTGTTTTGCAAGTATGAACTCATTTAATTCTTACTACAACCGTGTGATCTAGGAACTAATACTTTTCCCTTTATAAAGATGAGCAAACTGGGATCCAGAAATTGCTCCAGCTTAAATAATAAGCCAGAGTCAGCACTGGAACTCAGGTGGCCTGGGGCTTAGTGACCCTCTCAAGGCAGGACGTGAGCAGGCTTTTCCTCCAAGGTTCCAGAGGCCCAGCTCGCTTCCCTCCCACCCCCCATACCTAAGACCACAATGAAGTCGGATGGAGCCACTGTCTGGGTAGCTCTTCTAGGCTACTGTTAACGGGCAACTTCGTGACCCCAGGAGGCTCATGTGAAACCTACATCAATATTTTTATGGCAGTTAGTTAACGAGATCCACTGGTTAATAGACTCCTGAGCTTAACAGGGTAAAACAAAGTTGAAACAGGTCAGAAGGGAGCATGGCTAGGGGAGCGCACTCTTGAGGCCCACTCCCTAAGGGATCAAAGATCATCCCGGCAGAAGGAGGTTCGTGCCTGTAACTCACCCTCTTCACGGGAACTTACTGGGGGCTCATATGTTCTGTAACATTCCAGACTCCCCTCTTTTCACTCCAGGAATTCAGACTCTCTTCCCATGTAGAATTCTTGAATTCAGACTTACAAGAGACACAGATCCTTACACAGGTCTCTGGTCTACTCCTCTGCTTTTAAAAAGAAGGAAATGGAGGTACTGTTTGCTTCTGGTTTGTCCCAAGTTATCTTAGAGGACGAGTTGGAGCCCTGTTCATTCAGGTATTACAAACTGCTTCTACATCCCTTAGCTATTTTATTTTAAATAGCATCACTCTGAATACGTGCTGAAATTCTCGTTTATGCTAATAACATTTTTCCTTCAGTGATGAACCCAAATTCAACAGAGAGCACCTTTACACACAGCACCCTGTTGGTCATGTCCTCTTTCTTCCTTTGCCCAGCATCAAATTTTGTGGACCGGGAGACCAATGACATTTATCACAAAAAAGATTTTTAACTCAAATAGCGTTTTTCACTAGAAGCCATGCACGCAAGCCGTCGAACCTAGACCCGCAACCACAACCACACCATGCAGGACCAAGGTGACGGACTTCAGAGCAGAATTGCCAAAAAGGATCTGGGAGGCGACTCCCACTTACCGATTTCGGTCATCGTGATCCCTGGCGCTAGCTGCCCGTTGTTGAAAGAGCTATAGGTAAACAAGTTGGGTACGGACGTGAGGTCATAGATGGGTTCTTGCTTTATCTGTTTGATTCCAGTCATGTCAAGTCCAGATTGATCCGGGGACGGCTGGCCGGAATCCACGCTGTAGTAACCCTCAGACTTGGGCAGGTCGATGACGTGTCCGTTGGCGTAAGCGCCCCCCGCCTCGCCGCTCAGGCTGCCGAGGCCGTTGCTGAGGCCGCCGCCGTACACCCTGGCCAGCGCCTCGGCCTCCCCGCTCTGCTGCTGCCGCTGCTCCTGCAGTCGCTGCTGGTGCTTCTGCACCTCCGCATACAGGCTGTCCCGCTGCTTCTTGGACATCCTGCCGAACTTCACAGCTGTGGGGGAGGGTGAGAGAAAGGCAGGAGAGAGGCTTGGGGTTATCATTTCGGCAAGTCCAAGGGGTCCTGGGTCCTTGTCCCCTCCACATCGATGCGTAGAATCCCAGCACCCGGACGCCCAAGAGTGCCTTCATCTGCCCCCTGCATCTGGGGAAAAGTCAGACTAGGGAGGGTCCGTCCTGGTTTAAAATGTGCATAGTGAGAAATAAACCTAAGCTTCGAAGAAATGTCCAAACTTACGTATGTATCTCTTATTGCCAGGAAGTTAGAAGGCATAGTTCCTGGTTCTTTCTTCTGTGCAGGGGAAAATCCACAAACCAAATAGCACCTGCTTTTAAAATGTCAACCAAGGGGCACCTGGGAGGCTCAGTGGGTTAAGTCTCTGCCTTCGGCTCAGGTCATGATCCCAGGATCCTGGGATCGAGCCCCACATCGGGCTCTCTGCTCCACGGAGAGCCTGCTTCCTTCTCTCTCTCTCTGCCCACCTCTCTTGCCTACTTGTAATCTCTGTCAAATTAATAAATAAAATAAAATAAAAAAAGAATTTATAAAATTAAAAAAAAATGTCAACCAATATTCTTTCTTAGCTTCCTGGGCTAAGCACTAGGGTTAATAGATTGTTGGAGAGAACCCTATTATTTCTCATTAAAAAAAAATATTTTATTTATTTGTCAGAGAGAGAGAGAAAGAGCACAAGCAGGGGTGGGGCAGAGGGAGAAGCAGGTTCCCCACCGAGCAGGGAGCCCGATGAGGTACTCGATCCCAGGACCTGGGGATCATGACCCAAGCTGGAAGCAAATGCTTAACTGACTGAGCCACTCAGACATCCCATATTTCACATTTTCTAAACAGCACAGTTGGTGAGACCAAGGATGATAAGCACCATTTGAAGTAAGCATTTGACTTCAGTTGGCTTTTGGGACCAAATTCAGTCTTTGGAAAACAGAAGTTTTGGATATCCAGTGCTTGGCAAGTGAGCCCACCGTTATCCTTCCTTTCTTGTTCTACCACCCCCGAGTTTTATATTGCCTATCTCTTCAGGAAAAATCCTGAGCCGTCGTAAGGAAAAAGAAGGAAGAGCCTCTCTAAGCGGTCACAGAATGATCTGAGGGTGTTTTGATCTGAATTCACGGTTTCTTAACTAGAAGAGCTTAACCTCCTGAACTGCTGGGGATATTGACAGTTTTCCTCACAAGCAAGTATTTGAAGCCAAAGGACCACCTTGTCTGAATCCTCAGACACTGTGTCGTTCAGTTCGTGTTCATGGTGGGGAGGGGACTGTGACAAACACGGAGGTTCCTCTCTGAGTTTCCATTTTCTTTTCTTTCCCGACCAAAGAAAATATTTTTATTTATTAATTTATTTTAGAAAGAGAGAGAGAACCCAAGTGAGCAGGGAGAGTAGCAGAGGGGGAGGGACAAGCAGACTCCCTGCTGAGCGTGGAACTGACTTGGGGCTTGATCTCACCACCCTGAGATCATGACCTGAGCAGAAACCAAGAGTTAAATGCTTAATGGACCGAGACATCCAGACCCCGCTCCCCCAATCACCTTTTGGTACTGGAAGCCCAGGGAATGTGGAAAGAAGAAAGTGGAGGGTAGAAGCAGGCCCAATTCCTGGATTTAGTCACTAGTGCTGGTGAACATAATTTCTGAGAAAAACTAAATGAGGAAGCGCTTAAGAACTCTCCAGAACAGAGAGTCCCCAGAGAGATACCTGCTGTGAAAGAGCTGCCATTTCACAACGCCCCCGTCCCCTGCCATGTTCCATCAATGTTCATTTTCTCCTTCTGTTGGTTACAGAGCTACCAAATTCTATCTAAGCGTTGGCTGTTCAGAATGGAGACCACATTTCCCAGCCCCCCTCACTGGCAGGTGCTGCTGTGACTAAGTTCTGGGTGGCAGGAAGTAAATGGAAAGGCTACATATACTTCTGAGAGTGGGGACATGCTGTCTTCCTCCTTCCTGCCTGCTGGAAGGTTGTGGCTACAAAGGCTGGATTTAGAGCAGCCCAAATTTCTTGTTTCTCCTTAGTCCTCCTTAAAAGACTAAGTTGTGGTGCTGTCTAAGCAGAAAAACAAAGGGGTAATTACCCAGTAAGTTTTCTGACCGAAGACAATTCACATGTTTAATTCACACCAAATTCCCCTTTCCACCTCAACTGTCATTTTTATAGAGTCTGGAATCATTCAGATCACTGCATTTAATTTTGTTGGTAGAGACACACTCTTTTTTAGATTCTGTATCTCAGACATACATTTATGTGCTATATTTCCAGTTTGTCCATAGACCAAATTCTAAAGAAAATTTTAGGGAAAGCATCCTGTGTACCTTTATACTGTATCTTTACAAATAATATATATAACATTTTAACTATAATTTCATAAATTTATTAATAAATTCATATATTTTATATAATATATAAATTCCTTTGGGAAAAACTTTTTTAAGAAAAAATAAACCGTGATAACTCTGGATTCAGGAAGAAGAACTTTTTCCCCCAAGAAATTAAGTGACACCCTTCTTTATTTGCTAACCTGTGCTTTGCATTCATGTAGGTTCAGAATAGCATTTATTACAGAGCTATGCAGATGGATACAAAATTTCTATTTATTGTTGTAGATTAAAATTTTATTTTGGCTGGAGTAGATCTACCTTTTTAATTTTTTTTTAATTTGAGAGAGGAAGAGCGGGAGAGAGCATGAGCAGGGTGGGGGTCAGAGGGAGAGGGAGAAGCAGGCTTTCTGGGGACAGAATTTCCCTGGGCAGGGAATCCCATGGGGCTGGATCCCAGGACCCCTGGGATCATAACCTGAGCTGAATACAGCTGCTTAACCGACTGAGTCACCCAGGTGCCCCATGGAGTATATCTACTTTCTGAGTTACTTTAGTAGAATACTTTTGTGTTTAAGATCTATAGAGGAGGAAAAAAAAAAAAAAAAAACTGGGGAGAAACTCCTCCGTTGCGGAGACATAAATGCAACATCTCTTTTTAAAACCCTTTCTGTTTAAACCTTGCTTCAGATTTCCACACACTCTGCCTTTAGGTGAAATATACAATGGGGCGGATTGATTGCTTTAATGACCCTGATTCTTCATACCTATTCCCAGGGTAAATGCACACCACCCTATCATTGTGGGCAGGGCTGCCCTGCCCCACCCCCTTGCCACAGGGTCATGTGACTTGCTTTGGGCCAATGGGAGATTGACACGTGACAAACAGAGGCTTCGGAAGTACTTGTGTGACTGAATTATCTCACCAGGAAAAGGATGTGCCTAAACCAGCTTGCTAGAGGATAAGCTTTGTGAAGCCCCGCCCCAGTCCTCTGGATCTTTCCAAACAAGGCTGTTTGCCTTCGGCAGAGGCACTGACTGACCTATAGCTGGAGGCAGATGAATGAGTGAACCCAGTTAAGACCCTACCTTAAATAATTTTAGGTTCAGAAATGTGCTATTAACCACAGATCTCAATCAAAGCGAACGAGGTCAAGTAAGTATGCTGTCCAGACCTCTGCCCTAGTAAACACCTGAAAACCCAATGGTGAATAGTTACGCCCTTTCCAGGTCACCAAACAAACCGAAATATTTTCAGAGACAACTTAAAGCTCTCCTACATTTTGGAATTATCTGGCTTCATCCTAAATCAAGAACTTCACTGACAATTACTATAATACTATTTTAGAATAAATTTTCCATTTATTTCAGAAACACTGATGAGCCAGTATTTCAGTTTTGTGCCCCTTCCTGTAACAAAAGTCGTGGTATATTTGGGGAAAATGATTCTAGTACATGGAACAAGTAAATCTACTGAAAACTTTCCTGACAGACAGATATATATTATACATATAAAAAATTCCTTGTCACCATTTGTAAAAACGTTTGTTATATTCATAGGCCTATTTCTAACAAAGGCTGAATTACTATTATATTTTCAAGTATTAGCATTTTTCTTACCACTACTCATTAATCAGAATGGCACATATTTTAAGCATTTGCCCCTCTCAAACTTGAATTATTCTGTTAATGATTTTCACTTGAGTACAGAGGCAGCCACTTGTTAAACTGCTAGCTCTCAAACTCACACGATTCTGTATACATCAGAGTGCTTTATAAATATTCAGTGATGATATTTGCTTATGATATGCTCTTATCACTCATTTTGATCCCATACTAGCAAAGAATAATTTTATGCAAAATATTGGGAATCTTTTCATATTTATTTAGATTGTGGGATTCTTTTTTTTTTTTTTTAAAGATTTTATTTACTTATTTGATAGAGACACAGTGAGAGAGGGAACTCAAGCAGGAGGAGTGACAGAGGGAGAAGTGGGTTTCTCACCAAGCAGGGAGCCTGATGTGGGGCTCGATCCCAGGACCCTGGGATCACAACCTGAGCCGAAGGCAGATGCTGAATGAGTGAGCCACCCAGGCGCCCCAGACTGTGGGATTCTAAACGGAACAGAAGTTTTTGGAATAATTATAAAACAAAGTCATCGATTCTTTGAAGGTTTGTATTTACTAACACATGACATCTAGAGATGTGTTTTTGGCTTCAAGAGAACCCAATCGTAGAACTACCATAGTCATTTTGGAAATTATTTTATCTTACAATCTTTTGGTTGTAAAGTTCTCTATGCCTACATCTTGCTGCTTACCAAGGAAACTGGTCTTAATTTAACTCTTTTTAATTTCAAGGATATGCCTTTTTTATAGTGCTCTAAGCTTTGTAGAAAAGATCAGATTCAACCTACCCAACCCTATTCATAATTTAAAAATATTCTCTCTCCTCCCTCTCCTTTCCCAGCAGAACTTCCTGTGATGACTGAATGTTCTATATGCTTTCCAAGATGGTAGCCACACGCCACATGTGGCTACTGAGCATTTGAAATACAGCTTGTGTGAGTGAAGAAGTGAATTTTAAAATAAATTAAAAATTAATTTTAACAAATTTAAATTTAAACTTAAATAGTGACATGTGGATACCATTCTGGATATTGGACAATGCCATTCTGGAGAAGTAGAAGCCTAATCTGTGATGCCTGTTCTTGTAGGGCAGCTGCTGCTTTTTCATTGATGGATGTCATTTAGGAGGTCACACGCCCAAATTATTGCAAGGTATCGTCCTTTTTCTTTGGGGCCCCACATCTTTCTGCTGACACCAAGCATTTTTTTCTGGGTTTTGTTTGTTTGTTTGTAGTAATATAATGGGAAACAGTTTATCCTGAAGACTCCTGAAACTAACGTTTGTGAAGGGCCCATTAAAAAGAAAAATAAATAAGAATGTTGAGAAGATTTGGTGGGCGTATACATGCTATCAACTCTCACACATATAAACATGCGTGCCCTTGCCTTTTTAGACACGGAAACACATGTGTGTGCATGCCAAGTGGATTGGATTTTCGAGTCTTTACCCCAAATAAATTTGAACAAATTTGTTACTGCTGAGTTTTTTTGTCTACTCATATATGTGCCATGGCTGCTAAACCATTATAGAATGGAAATTCAGGAATTAATGAAAGTTCAGTGATTTTAACAGTTATATCAAACTATCCATAAATAGCCATGTTGCTTTGCTGACTAGGTACAGTGAAATAAACATTCCTGGTGCCATGTATAACTGACAGAAAGCAAATGCAAATATCGAAATGAAGATGGCACTTTCTGTCTGAAGGAAAATGGGCAAGGTGTATGCAGAAAGAAGTTAGGTGTAAGGGCATCTTAACTTGGCTACTGGTACTACCACTAAAGGACCTTGAAAGTACTTGCCTAATCAGTAGAAGGTAAGTATAATAAATTAGTGGCAAAGGAAGTACCATTTCTCATTCTTGAGTCCTTACTAGACATAGGTAATCAACTATAACTTTGGGGCTTTTGAAATCCACAAACAAGGCATTACATATCAACAGGAGATTAAACCTAGTCAGCTACTTTGGTATTAACATAATTTAATTGCTACAAAGTACCCTTTATAATCAAGGTTCAGATGAAACTTCCTCTATATAACATAGTCAAGAAGAATTGTTTTCCCTTAGAAAGAATCATCTTTTGCTTCTGCTGGAGCCTCATTCCAGCAGAAGAATTATCCTTATTCCCAACCACTATACCCATTCCCGAGCATTTCTCCTCATCATTAGTTTGATATAAAACATGTTTAGGACATCTTTTTGAAGACATCTCTGGCTGCCTCAGGATTGTCTCTGGACCTAAAATTAAGGTGGATCGTTATTTTGAATTTCCAGCGTCTTTAAGACATTTTCATTGTATTGCTTTTACTTGCAAGTTTTTGTGCTGTGGTGAATTTCTTCCCCCTTGAGAGTAGATTGTGGCTTTATCCATTAAATAACCCTTCCCCCAACACATTTCTTTTATGCCATGGGATTCAGACAATCTCCTAGATTTTGAGAACTTTGGACCATATGCCTTTTTATTGCCCATAATTCTGTTCACCACCATGGACTCCTAAGACCTGCCTTCCAAAAGAGGCACTTTCTTTTATTGTAGGAAGAAGTAACAAAGACAAATAACTAATGACTTATTTTTTGCACAATTATTAATATATGCTCTCCTTCATACACTATCAATTAATATGTTGCCTCACTATGGTGAAAATAAAATATAAAATCATCAACTCAAGTTCCCATATAATTTCACTAAATAAATCCTTAAAACTACTAAATCCCCACCCTCTACCTTCTTCACTTTAGTTATGTGGAAGTACACAGTGTAATCAATTTACCCTAGGAGTAAGCTACACAGCAAGTAAAACAAGCAAAAACAAGAAAAACAAACAAAAGCAAGAAAAAAAAAGCAAGAAAAACAAACAAAAAGTCAGTTAATAGAAGAGTTTTGGAAACTTACATCTCTGCGACTTTAGAAGCTACCTATAAACTGAAAGGCTCAAAGTCAGATTCTTTTTTTTTTTTTTTTTGGTCAAATTGGTCTCCTAGGTATATGTTTATGCAAGGCAGTTAGGTGGACTGGGAAGTAGAAAAAGATAAACAAAAAATTATAAGTATTTTGAGAATGCAAGCTAAGAACCGAGCAGTTTTTATGTTTAGATACCAAGGCTCATGGAGAACTGATTTCATCCAAATGAGTAAAAGGCTCATGGTGATTTAATAACTCATAAAATCCCTTTATACCAACAGACAGTGCATGCCAGTTACCTGTATTTCTTTAAAATCTGGAAGCCTTCCTCCCTCCCTTCCTTCCATAGTACCTTGACCTTCATTAGGTGTGACCAGAGGCAGAGAAACCACAACGATTCACACACACAGAGAATAAGTACCAAGGGAACTGCCTGTGTGTCAGGCTCTAGGTAAAAGAGAATTCCATGGTTCATTCAATAAACATTTAGGTGCCTGCTTTTAACCAGACTCTGAGGATACAGTGAGAACAAGACAGAAATGCCCCCAGGACTCAGGGTTGCTCACAACCTGATATAGAAGTGCTATGGCCAATGTCATTGGGGAAATAATTAGTTGAGATGAGTGCTTACAAATGAAAGCAATACTAGATGAAATTCTTTGTGTGAGTTTATTTGTCCTGTTTCATTAATCTGTGGAATTTAGCTGTGGACCCACCTGCCCCATTTGGGCTGTATTATGAGAAGGACACCACCCGTACGGCCTTTTTTAAGACTTGGACTTCTGTTACAGCCTTTGCAATTTTCATGATGCTTTCCCAAAGTCCATGCCCAACAGCAGAACTTCTCTGCTTCTTACAGACACGCAGGCCGTTCCTTAGCATCTGCAGGTACCAGGCAACCTATGCACCTGTCAGACTTACCCAGTGACCTAATGGTCCTGGTTTGCCTGAAACTGTCCCTGGTTTTGGCTCTGAAAATCTCACATCCTAGGAAACTGTTCCTGCACAGGCAAACCTAGATAGGATCCAACCTAGGCCTATGTGGCTCTCACCAAACCTTGTTAGCACAGTTTGCTCCATGAACAACAGGAAAGTCTTTCCTTTCTTCCTATTTCAGAGGCAATACAGTATTTTTATACTTTCTTATCTTCTTCATGTACAACCAGCACATGGTTTTCTTTTCTTTTATCCCCAATTCCCTTTGTCTAGAATCCTTCCGGTGGCTTAAACAGACTCCAGCAAAGCATCCATGTGAAAGCCTTTAAGTAAGAAATAGGAACACAGTGTCTTACCATCTCTCGACATTCCTAGGGCAAGACACTTTTGCAGTCGGCAGTGCTGGCAACGGTTTCTGTTGGTTCTGTCAATTAAACAGTTTCTCTGCCGTGGGCAGGAGTAAGAGGCATTGTTTTGTTGGCTCCTCCTAAAGAATCCCTAGAAGCAAAAAAGAGAATGGGAGGGAGGTGGATCTATAAGAAGGAAAATGGAGACAATTAACATATACCTTTGCTACATTTTCTACAGTGACTGGAACTGAGTTTAAGTAAAAAAACATTTTTTTTTTGACACTTCTCCTTGGTTAGCTTACAGATGTTTGCACTGGGGAAAATGTGTACTATCTGCAGAGAGATGAAGGCATCTTTCATTCATTCATTTAATCAATGTTTACTTAAGACGTCTGTGACCTGTCCTGATCTCTGCAAAGAAAAACAGAACAGAGCTCCTTCCTTCAAAGAGGAGGGAGTTGGGAAGGAGAGGCAAAGGACAGTGTCACTGCCAAGCCAAATGTGACAAAACATGATGGGGACAATAATGCGACCTTATGCAAGTGCTGGGGGGGCGGGGAAAAGAACTTGGGCTGTTGGTCGTAATAGCTGTACTGAGGAGGGTGGGCCCAGTGTGTACCATCACCTTCCTATAGTTCCTAAGATGCACATTTACCTATTTGAAAAATTTTAAATTTGGCCAGAATGCATCTGGAAGGTTGTTTTTTTATACCAGTGATGTCCCTTATAATTAACCTCATCTCTAAATAAAGGAAATATGGTATATACATTGTTCACTAAAAATCAGCAATAAATAAAAGCTGAACACATGCTCTTTGCTTGGCCTCAGGCTCGGGAGATGTAGGAGGTTTTCATACAAGTAAGTCTGGGTCTTTCTGGTACAAACGTAACTGCCATGGACTACACATAACCCTTCTAAATAATTCCACAGCTGAGTTAATCATTTAAAAAATTCTTTGGATACCACTTGCCTTAATTAGAAAACCCTACAGGGGAAAATCTGTTTCCTCAGTTATCAACAGCAGGATAGAGCGGGGCTGGGACTAGGGTCACAGCTAGTGAGGCACCCATCTTGGCCACAAAATTTAAGAGGAGCCAAAAAACTTGTTAATCAGGGTAAGTAATATTTTAACACAATATATTGAGAATCAACATTAATGCAAAACACCCCAAAAAGTTCAAAGAGGATCAAGATTATCGATGTTCTTTTAGTTTGGGGCTCTCATACAGCGTGGCCTGGCACATGAAGAGAGCTCGGCCACTCTTGTGAAGAACTTCAGAAATGGATGTGTGGTTCGTATATTTTTAGAGAGTAAAAATGCCAACCAGTTGTGTGTTGTAAGCTCCAAGTCATTCAAAACAAGGACGACTTTGGTGCCCACAGGCCCATGTGTATTGCTTACATAATGGACCCGTGGTGGCAGAAGGAGCTATCTAATTGTCTAGTTCGAATGAATTCATGGAGCCCTTTAAAATGGAGCTCACATCCAATCCCCAGGGATCGAAATGATGTACTCCCTACACAAATTGTTCCTGACATACAATGGTTCAATTTATGATTTTTTGACTTTACAGGTGGAGCAAAAGCAGTGTGCGTTCAGTAGAAACCACACTTCAAATTTGGATCTTTTCCCAGGCTAGTGAGAGGCAGTATGGTGCTCTCTTGTGATGCTGGGCAGGGCTGTGGCCCCAGCTCCCAGTCAGCCTGGCAAGCACGAGTGTCAACAATCCCCTATACTCACAGCCATTCTGGTTCTCACTTTCAGTATGGTATTCAGTAAATTACATAAGATATTCGACATTTTATTATAAAGTGGGCTTTGTATTAGATGACTTTACCCAACTATAAGCTAATGTAAGTGTTCTGGGCACACTTAAGGTGGGTGACGCTAAGCCTCTATGTTTGGTAGGTTAAGTGTATTAAATGCATTTTTGACTTCAGGTTTTTTCAACTCACCCTCAGTTTGTAGGGACATAACCCCTATGCAGGTTGAGGAAGATACATACCATCAAAGCAGAAGCCATAACTTCGGCCCATCAGTCTTGATAAAAGAGGACTTTGAATTTATATTTTAAGAAAGAATCGGTGGTTTTTATCTTTGGATGCTTTAGTGCCACTTAGCAAAAGAGCTGACAGAGAAGACTTTTGAAGTCATAGCCACAGTCCTAATTTAAGACCAATTTGACATTAATTATGAGGCATTTCTTGCTTATCTGTTGCTCATTATTGCCAATGAGGTCTTTGGCATAAAAAAGAGATTCTGTTTCAAATTTTATTGAATGAGGAGGAATTTGAATAAGTGCATAAGCTGAATTGATGTTATTTGAAATGGGTTGTTTATGTTGACTCAAGAACCGTATTATGAAAATTCAGAGGTTGATAGTGAACCTGATTCCAACATCTTATTCTGAGCAGAGTTTCTTGAGTTTTCTATTTGGAGAAAGATGCAGCAGACTGACACATGTGGGTTTTCCCAGGACATTAAAAAAAAGTAGTGTTGTGTACAATGTCATTCTGGCTACACCTTTAGAATATGGTTCTGAACGTGGGTCCTCTTCCTTTAAACAGAAAAGAAGACAGGAACCTACACACTTGTTTCTGGCTATTGACCTGTTCGAATATATTTGTTTCAGAGTCAAATCTTCTGGAGATTGCTGTTTAAAATGTTTTGCTTTTTAACAGGAACATACACTCATATTTTGAAATCAGGCGTTTTCCTAAAATAGAGCTTATATGTTGAAACACAAAACATCCACACTTTGACACTGGTAAAAAAAAAAAAAAATGTATGTGGTGGATACTTTGTAAACTAGACCAGAGGCCTTAAAATTGCATAATAAACCAGCACAGTGGTGGGAATGCTTTCCCTGGAGGGTTCAGATTCTCAAATTATTAGCATTACGAAGAAAACTATTTGTCTAAGGAGAATAAAAAATCGCTGATTTGTAATTTTGCTTGTTTCTTCTCATGAGCTGGAAACAACTAGATTAAGTTGGGTAACATGCAGTTCTCAGCTGTAGGTCTGCGGAGGACTAGAACGCAGCGTCGGTCTCATGACGTTCAAATAGGATTATCACTAACCACTTTTAAAGCAGGTATATCAGTATATCGACGGGTTAGTTGCATTCATGTTATCCTCCCCTCTCTGCATCCTTTTCCCACTTTATTTTCATTTATTTCTTTTTCTTTTCTTCGTCCCAGTTTCAGTTCCAGGAATCATACTTTTTTGAGACTATGATGAAGACATGGCCAGTTTTTCACATACCACGGCTATTCGACAGTTACGGTTGAGTTTCATTTCACGTGTTTTTGAGTCTGTTAAGATTAAGGCTGGTTCTTAGAATCTATGGTTGTGGTACATCTCCTTCAGTCTACAGATTTAAAACAATTTTTTTTAAATTTTTTAAGTCATCTTTCTACCCAACGTGGGGCTCGAGCTCAAAACTCTGAGATCAAGAGTCATGTACTCCACCGACTGAGCCAGCCAGGGGCCCCCGTCTACCGATCTTCAATTAATTAATGAGTTGCTCTGCTTTCATCTTTGATCAAAAATATGATTGCTTTTGCCAATAACTTTGCCAACATATCATTTTTCACTTGCAGAGTGTAGCTACATTTTCTGTGTTCTGGTGACACTTTGCCCTTTGAAATTAGGTGTGGAATTGTTTTTTATTTCCTCCGTGGTGTTTTGCCTCTCACTCTTTTTTTTTCCCCTTCTAAAGAAGAATTTTAAAAACTTATTGTGAACTTTCAAATTTCTCTTATTTCAGATTAGGTCTGTGTTAACTGCGATTTTCAACTTTGTATTTTAAGAGCAACTTGCTCATAGGAATTTGTCTTTGAAAGGGTTGGTTCAATCTCTCTTTGGAGAGGAACACTGGATTGAGAATAAAAATCCTGTGTTTTTGGCCATACTCTGTCACTAAATACATCAGTGATATTGGCCTAATGGTGTAATCTTGTTTATACCTCAATCATTGAAAAATGAGGAGGTTGGGGCAGATAATTTTTAACTAATTTAGAGTCTGGTATACTTCTGACATTCTATGCTTCTACTTTTATTTTTCTGGAATGTGAGAACAAAATATGGCCCTGTGCATACTGCAACTGTTACCTGTGACTTCTTTCTCAAGCAGATTAATAAATCTAGGCCATTGGCTTGCAATCTTTAGCCTTTAGTACTTTCACCTAGTAATCAACACCCTTGAGTTTACTGAAGACAGTACTGTTAAAACAGGAAGAAGCTGTATTTCTATCTCTGTAAATGCGACTAAGTCAAGCTTTTAAATAACAATCCATTTTTAAGTAGCTGCTGACCAGGTAGGCAATCGCGAAAAAGCTGGAAGGCCAAAGAACAGAAAACCAACCCAGCCACACACCAAGCAGAAACTCTCATGTGTCAGCAGCAGGCACAAGCATCCTTCAGCCCTCTTTGAAAAGATGTCATCACGTGCATGGGGAGGTACACCAATGCCTGAGGCAAACACGATGCCTGGCCAGTGCTATGTTAAAGTCCCCTACCTTGCAGCCTTCACACGTGATCACTCCGTAGTGGATCCCGGAGGACTTATCGCCACAAATTTTGCATGGTATCACTTCAATTTGTGCTGAAATGGGAAAAGAGACATTTTTGAGTTTCATCCTTTTGCTCTCCTGTCTCCCTCCCCTCCTCTTCCCAGCATGACCTTAGGATTTGAGGACGCTGGGGTGGGGTCGCCCACCACTACCGGAGAGAAAGGGCAGCCATCTACCACTGTTTGCTTTGTTTTTCTAAAACTGAAATTTATAAGCAGGAATCAGAAGTTTTCTAAACTCTTAGTTCACTGCTTCCTCTTTTTTAAGCTTGACCTGGTTATTAAGTTGACTCAAAAATCCCTTGAACCTGTGGCTTTGGTTTTCTTATTTTGCACTTCGAACACGAGGTCACTGAGAGCTATCCCATGCCTCATTTCAACAGCATTTTAAATAAGTAAATAAAGCAAAACTGGAAGGGATGGCGGCTTTTATACATGATGTGACTGGATGTTTACTGGTGAAAATGTCAAGGGTGACAATATTTATTGATCATACTCCACATGACCACGAAACTAATAAAAGTTATCGACACAAGATATGATAAATTAAGGACACAAATAATTTCACTAATACAATAAAATTAATCCATGGAGAAATCAGGGGAAAATGATAAAAACAGGTGGCTACTATGACTTTAACACAAAGTAATTTCATGGGGTTGAAGACATCTGGGCCGAGTTTGAATATTGTGTATGATGAGGTTAGGCAGATGTGAAGGGCAAAGGGCATTTCTGCCAGCAGAATGCAACAGAAGAGGTCTGGAGTGACAATAGCTCATGATCATTGGGACAGACAACTCAGCTCTACTGGAAATGTGGGCCATGTGGTTGGGTAGAGGGAGTGATATGAGATTATGGAGCTCCTGGGAGTTAGTAGAGGAATTTTCACCTGATGCCACTGGCCATAAGGATTCAAGGAAGGGAATAAGGTGAAGACATGTTGGAAGTGGTGGTTTGGGTCCCTTAGAAGGGTGGGTTCAGCCAGCTGAACAAAATGAAGCAGAAGACCAATTCAAAGGCTATTCCAAAGCTGGTGTTAGGAGATCAAAGTATGGATTACATCAGTGGCAGGAGAAAGGGAGAGGAAGAAACAAATAGGAATTTCAATCAGGATCAATAAAAGAAAGGACACAGAGGTGGAGACTGATGGAGAATCAAAGGTGACTTCAGCTTCACCCTTGAGGGTCAGGTTCAACAGCAGGTTTGACACAAATGGGGCTGCTGGTAAGGCAACTACTTTGTGGAATGTGGTGGGGCATGGGATTTCCAACTCTCCTGTGTGCACGGGTAGGCACCTGTAGATGGAAACTTTTGGAAAGATGATTTTAAGTCATCAGCATTGAGGTTATGGATGAATCCATGAGATAAACTTTATTTAGAATATAGTAATTCCTATGTCTCTGGTAGTATTCTAAGTGCTGTTAAAATTGTACACACCAGGAAGAGCTGCTATTCCTGTTCCCAATTTAAAATAATTATGCAAAATATGCCTCAAAATGCTTTGTACATCAATCTGCCGTTTGGATGCTTTTCTACAGTTTCTCACCCTGGAATATACAAAACAGATAAATGTAAGACATAACCCTCTTTCTCTTATTGTTTTGCATTTTTAAAAAAGAGAATACTTAGCTTTAGGAGAGTGTATTCAATTTTTTGAAACCAAGTATTTCATGGTAAGTTCAAGTCATCTTTATGAGCAAAAAATTCGGCGTTATGGCCCTATTTTTTATATGAGAAAACTGAGGATCGAAGTGGTTAATGATGCCCTTGAGCTGGTTTGGGAGACGGCAACTAGAAATTAGCCAGCTTTCCCAATACTTTGTTCAGTAACCCTTTCCCTGCCTACCTCAGGGTTCGGATATGAATGCAATTTTGAATTCCTATATTAGTCCAATAGCACCAGCCAAAGAGATAATGATAAAAACATCAGGAGAGGAGACAAAGTCAACTAAAATAGTTATTAGCCTAAGTATTTATATTAGTTCTGTTCCTTTAGCTTTCAAATGAGATGAACTGGTAATTGTTTTCAAGGTTTTGTGATGGGGGAAAAATGTGAGATTTGATGTAACTCTATTCTCTTTTCCTGGATTCCTGTCCTTAATCTGTTAGTGATTGGGTCCACGGCCAAGACCAAATTCATGTTCTTTGGTTTATCAAGTTTAGCTGACAAACGTCATAGATCGGTGAGGATTAAATGAGATATTTTATGTGAAGTGCCTTGCAAAGAGTAAAGAACTACAAAATGTCAGTCCTCATCAGCATCAGAATTACTGTTAGCTGGTATTTCTAATGCTATTGGACAAGAATTATGACAGACCACGTTATTATTCCTCTATTAAAAAATCTTATTTATGGAACTCAAAAGAGTGACACTATACATTATTTGTACTTTTTTTTTTTTTTTAGTGATAACCTTTCAAACAGGAGACTCTTTATAATGATTACAAAACTGACTAAAAATAACAGGTACCCGCTGTACAGTTGTTAGGCGTCTATGATATTAAGTCAGAGGCACTCTTTGCATAAATTACTCCCCAGGGAGTAACTTACACGTGGGGAGAATCTGCTTCAATAAGTTCTTAATTATAAAATGATCTAACTCTAAAGGAAATGAAAATAGAGGTAATTTGCCCCCCAGGGTGTGAGAAGATGTTTTTGAAAGCCACAAAGGTTATCTTATACAACTTGGAAAATACAAACGGGAGAAGGAGTGATTCAATAGAGCATCTGCATATTTATACATATTTATTATCCCAGCTCAACGTGTAATCCTGAAGAACCATAAACATTTTAACAGTATTTTTAAAGAGAAAGAAGAGGGTATATGTGTGTTGCTATGTGTGGGAAGGGATTATCAATTTGGAAAACCTAGGACCGTTTTTACCTATCATGGCAGAACAGGTCATCTGAGGCGTATTATAGGTAAAGATAAATTTAAATAATGTAAAGGACTAATTCTATTCTTTTGCCTTCATTTAAAATAAACTGCTTCTGCGCTAAAACATCACAACTCGTACTGTGTATTTTATAAAGCGTGTCATGCAGTGAACGCAGATCCGCGGACATGCTATTTATCACGGGTCCAAGCTGAACTTCCAGGGAGGATGTGCTGGCTTGGACCACACCAGCTGTGACAGTGAAGGCGCTCTAAGGTAACTGAAGGGGGAGTTCAACTGTCCTGCTTTTGTGTGACTCGAGGATTAATTCAACAATAGTGTTTTCTGAGAGACAAACACAGAGGAGCCGGGATGCCCTGAGAGACGGCTTGAGATGTGCTCATTTCACAGTTCCCCCATTTCTTTTTTTTTTTTTTTAAGATTTATTTATTTATCTGACAGAGATCATAAGTAGGCAGAGAGGCAGGCAGAGAGAAAGAGGGGGAAACAGGCTCCCCGCTGAGTAGAGAGCCCGATGTGGGGCTCAATCTCAGGACCCGGGGATCATGACCTGAGCTGAAGGAAGAGGCTTTAACCCACTGAGCCACCCAGGTGCCCCAGTTTCCCCATTTCTTATATCTTCTGCTCACTTCCATTTTCCTACTGGCAATCCTCTGTGGAGACTTAAGTTAAAATTTTATTTACCAACTAGATCTTTTTGTTTATAAAAGCAATCCTAGATAATATTTCGGAAATGATATTCGTACAATATCAAAGAATATTATGAAAGATTTGAAAGAATTTGATGTTTTACCTTATATAAGATCACATTAGGAAGTACAATTAGTTTAACACCCCCTGATTTGGCAGGCAGGTCCTATTCAACAACTATCAACTAGTCACAGTTGGTCTCTTCTTTGAAGATGGCAGTTCTCTCTTCTCCCCTCCTCCCCCGGTACCTCCTGAAGGCTCTCCCTTGCTTAGAGCCCCTTACTATAGCATCGCACTAAGTCACCGTGTGTTCAGTGCTTCCTGATGATCAAAATGTACGTGTCTTTTGTTCTGCTCCCTCAGAACCCCCCGCTGCTGAAGGCAGGTGTGAAGTTAGATTAACTAATCCAGGCGAATGCATGCACTAGGAAATGCATCACTTTGATGCATCAAAATACGTTCATTCTTAAAAGAATCCGCCAGGCACGGTAGTAGTAGTGGACTGTCGGGTACTGTCTGGTTGAAGGAAACTGCGTATGTTCTTGCGGCACTCAGTTCCCCACTCCAACTTCTACAACTCAACCTGGCCATTTTTATCGTCAGGGCATTTTAAGTCCGTGGAGGAAAGTGTCCAGGTTAAAAAAAAAAAAAAAATATATATATATATATATATATATATATATTTGACAAAGAGGGAGAGAGAGCACAAGTAGGGGGAATGACAGGCAGAGGGAGAGGGAGAACCAGGGTCCCCACTCAGCAGAGAGCTCGACATGGGGCTTGATCCCAGAACCCTAGGATCAGGACGTGAGCCAAAGGCAGATGCTTAACTGACTGAGTCACCCAGGTGCCTCAGGACTTTTTTTAAAAAAAATTTTCTACTGAGACCAAAGATCATTTGTGTAACTCCTAAAAGCAGTAGTCCTAATTTTCTTTCTTTCAGTACAACCAAGAGATTCCACATATTCCCTTTTATAAAAAAGGCTTTAAGCAGGGGTGCCTGGATGGCTCAGTTGGTTAGGTATTTGCCTTCAGCTCGGGTCATGGTCTCAGGGTCCAGGGATCAAACCCTACATCGGCTCCCTGCTCAGTGGAGATTCTGCTCTCCTTCTCTCTCTCTCTCTCTCTCTCTCTCATAAATAAAATCTTAAAAAAAAAAAAAAGGCTTTAAGCAATACAGATTTCCCATGTTTGGAGTGAAGAGAAGTAATCAGAATCTTGTGATTGGGGTGGATGTATATTTTGGAATAGATCTGCAAGTGATTCTGCTACAGTAAGGCTCCCTCCCATTGAGGATTAAATGAATCAAGCTGTGAACTAGGAATTCTCTGTAGCATGTGAACCACCTGCAAAGGAAATAAAGCCCAGGGACAAGCCTATAATCTGAAATTACTAAGGAGTGACCAAGAAGTTTCCATTTGTTTGCTGACCTTTGGTTTGGGGTAT